GAATCAATGAAATGTGAATATATTCAGTTTAAGGAATTGAAATTATCTTAAAATTGTGTTCTTCCTACTCTTTGGTATTATATTTGTTTTATAAATTCATGCTGATCATAGGTAAATAGTTGGTATGTTTTAAATGTCCATTCTTGGTAAAAAAAAAAAAATTGGTAACCCTATACTGGTGTCCATATTTCTTTTGAAATTTTATTGGCCTGTGAAATTCAGAGATCCAGGGGCCACTGTTAAAAGAAGTCCAGCATATTAATCTTATTTTTTATATATATTTTCACCACAGGTCAGAGTTTATTTCTTAGTTTGGTTTGAATATACTTCACAGAATGGTTAATAACAAAATACTAGGTGCCAGCAGTCTATCAATCCTTTTGTTTGGATTTATATTTCTTGCTTCTGCCTTGTCTTTTGTTACTTTACCTTAACCAGTCCTATGGAATTGAGTTTACTGTGCTAACAGGCAGGTAACTGCTTAAAAAAGAATGGTACAAAAGTTGAGGCTATTGGTCATTCTTTACCTTATACACATGGAATAATTTGAGCAATACTGGAAGGTTCCTTCCCTAATCAAATATGTCTCTCTTGCTAGTGTCCTGGTGTCTGAAATTTTCATTTTCATCTTTCAATCCAGTTGTCATTGGATTTAAGACATTGACAAATATAAGCTCCATTGAAGGCAGGTACCACATTTGTCTTATTTATTGCTGTAATTCCGGTATCCATCTCAGTTCCTGACACCTAAGCAGCTCTTCCATAAATGTGTATTCAATTAAAAAATGAACCAAATGTTATTTGTGACATTAAAACATTATTGGTCATAATTAACCTTATGATGTAATAGTCTATTAAATAGCTAGTAGAAAATAAAGCTGTAAGGTAATTGAAACATAGTTCAGATAAAGTCTAGGAAAGTTAAGAGATAGCTCTATAATGGTTCTCAGGCTTTTAGACATGTATCCTCCTTGCCCTTCTTTTAGGAACCTTCTTCATGTCAGAAAGTACAGAATTTCCCACAGGACAGTAGTTGTCTTTATTATCTGTTGATTGAGAAACTATATGCTTTAAAATCATTAAAAAATTTCATTAATTATTTTAAATGAATATATATTTCTTTATAGTTGATAGAGCTTACATTTAGCTAGACATATACTTTATTTCTAGATGACTCTTGGTATGCATATAAATTTGTAGAGTCCTTGAGGTCTAGGACCTTTTTTTTTGTTGTTGGGAACCATTGACCTAGACTTGCTACGAGAATGTGGTCCATAGGCCAGCAAACATTGCGGTTCCCTGGAGAAACTGTTAGAAATGGAGGACCTCAGGCCCTACTCCAGACCTATAGGATCAGGGCCAGCATTTTACCAAGATCCTCTGATGGCTTAATTGCACATTGTTTGAGAAGAGTTTATTGAACACATGATTTTTGTTCAGATTGAGAAGACCACTGAAGGTTTTTTGTTGTTTTTTTTTTCCTGGTGGGATAGGATAGGGGCAAGGAGGGATAGGAGGAGCAGGCCAAACAGAGTTGGAACAGTGTGAAAAAACAATTTGGCTTACTTAATTACCATATCTTAGAAACATTGTTAATTAGTTGCATAGGAATTCCTGAAAAGGAGGTGTGTGTTTTTGTGTATGTGTTTAATATTTCTGTGATTTTGTTACCATATGAATAAACTTGTTAGTGAAATATTGTTCAAGTGAGATTCAAACAGAAGCGTTAGTGAATTGCTAACAGCACATTGTTTATTATCTGTTTCTTAAGGAAATGCCTTAGCATTGATCTTTTGGGAACCTACTTCTGCTCTTTTATCCAAAGAAGTACATGCCCATTTGTCCCTCACAACCATGTAGTTTTGCTGAGATTCAACAATGGTTAATTTCTCTATTCATCAAGGTGCTGTTAAATCCAATGGTATTTGAAAAACAAAGCATGTGTTCTATATCTAATCTTCATGTATTAAGGATAATACATTGCCAAATATCAGCCTCTGTGGAAGAACTTAGATTCATTTTTTTACTTGACAGTTTATAGACCAACAATTAAGTAACCATAATAATAAATTGATTGGAATTTGGCTTTAACCTTAGGGTCCTTCTGTAGAAATTGGTCCTTTTCCAGAAGGACTGATAAGAAAGCTTGGTTTAGTGCTTAAAATCAATGAAGTTGGTGGCAGTAGGGTGTCTGAATTGGAAGGTACTTTCTTTGCTCTTACAGGATTTTACTTTTTCTCTTCATTTTTATTATTAAATGTTTATTAAATGTTAATCCATTCTAATTTTTTTTCTTTATTTTCCCCTTTGCCCCCCTGCACCCAGCAACTCCACTTCCTCAGGCAGTCCCCATACCATTGTTTATATCCGTGGGTCATGCATATAAGTTCTTTGGCTATTCCATCTCCTATATTGCACTTTACCTCCCCATGGCTACTCTTTAACTATGTATTTGTATTTCTTAATCCCCTCACTTCCTCATCCATTCCCCCACACCTCCCTCACATCTAGCAGCCATCAAACCACTCTGTAATTTTGCTTCTGACTCTGTTGTCTTGATTCTGTCTCTGTTCTTGTTTGGTTAGTTTTTTTTAGATTCAATTGTTGATAAATACGTATTTATTGCAATTTTATTGTTCATGGTTTTGATCTTTTTCTTAAATAAGTTCGTTTAACATTTCATATAATAATGGTCTGGTGATGACAAACTCCTTTAGTTTTTTGTCTGGGAAGCTCTTTATCCTTTGATTCTAAATGCTATTTTTTTCTGGATAGAGCAGTCTTGGCTGTAGGTCCCCACTTTTCATGACTTTGAATATTTCTTGCCAGTCCCTTCTAGCCTGCAAAGTTTCTTTTGAGGAATCAGCTGACAGTCTTATGGGAACTCACCTGTAGGTAACTAACTGCTTTTCTCTTGCTGCTTTTAGATTCTCTCTTTATCTTTACTCTTGGGCATTTTAATTATGATGTGTTGTGGAGTGGGCCTCTTTGCATCCATCTTGTTTGGGAGATATTTTCTTTGCTCTTGTAGAGTTTTTCAGTTTCTACTTTGCAAACTTGTTGTAATATGGAAATATTTACATATTTACCATACTTATTTTAAGTTAATGAGAAATTTATTAGGCAGCTCTCAACTTTTAATTTACTATTTTTCCTTGAGTTAGTAAAGAGATTATTTCATATAGTTTTTTGGTAATTGTTCTTAAATTTAAGTTTTAAAAATAAACTACATTGTTTGATTCTGAATCAGACTTTTTGTACTTCGACAATTTATAGATGGGCTGTTATGAACTTGACTTGTTTATGAGTATAGTCCTAAAATATATACCAAAGGATTTCCAAATCAGCACACAATTAATCTCAATGGATATTTGTGAAATACAGGTTAGAAGAATCAAAGGTATACCTTTCTTACCTATCAAATTGGCAAAATTAAAAATCTGAGAGTACCAAATATTGATAAGGATATACAGAAATGGGAATTTTTAACCATTGCTGATGTTGAAGAAATATAATTTAACCCCAAACCTCCTGCCATCTCAGAAAACATCTCTTTAAAGGTAGGAGAGAAAGAAAACATTTTATTTTTGAATAAGCATTAATCTAGAATGTGATGAACATCACAGGCAATACAAAGAGATTGCAGAAATTTAAAGAGAGCTCTTTTATGTAGTTTATATAGATACAACCAATTACATGCTCTCAAGATAAACTATAATAATGCTTACGTAAGAAGACATGGCAACATTTGTCATACATGTAGGTTGTCTCAAACTAATTGGCTTTATCGAAAGGGAAAATAAACATATTTATGACAGTAGGTATTTGAAATTACCTATGTGGCTAGGTGGCTTATTCAAATTAGGCTCCTATCCTTCTGCAGAAACGGCAGAAAGGGGAGCTGTTTTCCTTGATCATATTTCAAAGAGATAGCTACAAGGTCCTTGAGAAAGGCAGTTCTGGGTTGCTGGTTAGAAGTTCACTTAGCTTTTAAAAATATTTATATACATTTCAAAGGTGCAGAGAAAAAAATGTACAATTACAAGTTTTCTAAAGAAAATGCTATTAAGAAAAGAGTGTGTTAGGTTTCTCTTCCCTTATTTTTAACAGGAAGAATTAAACTTCTTAATTTTATTTTGCCCTTACACTGATGGGTAAATAGATCCAGCTGCTTTAGTGGGCAATTTAGCAATGTTCCAGTACTTTTACTTCTAGATAAATCCCATAGAAACTCTTAACACATGCTCATGAGAGGTTTGTAGCATTGTCTATTAACAGTGAAACAATGGAAACAACCAAAATATTTGTGAACAGGAGGATGAATAAATCGGGTACATTCATACATTGCAGTACTTGCAGGGGTGCCCAACCTTTTGGCATCTCTGGGCCACACTGGAAGAAGAGTTGTCTTGGGCACACATTAAACACACGAATGAGCATAAGGATGTTTAAGCAATAAAAAGGTTTTAGGTAAATTCATGATTTTGTGTCGGGCTGCATTCCTAGCCATCCTTTGGCCACATTGCAGGTCACGTGGGCTGTGGGTTGGACATTCCTGCATAGTATCGAAAATGAATGCATTACAATTCCCTATATCAACATGAATCACTTTTTTTTAAATGACTTTATTTATTTAGTTTTAGACAGATGGGAAGGGAGGGAGAAAGAGAGAGAGAAACAACAATATGAGAGAAAAACTTGATCAGTTGCCTCTCATAAGTGCCCTGATCTGGGACTGAACCTGCAACCCAGGCATGTCTGACCAGGAGTTGAACAAATGGATAAAAGCAAGTTTAATCAGTACTTGGCCATACCATATTGCTTTCTAGAGACTTTGTGTGTAGTTGGTTAAGTTTCAAACATTAACCTCCAAACTGATGATCCCACTGTCTGTTAAGCTATTGTAGTCCCCAGTGGTTCAGTGAGAGTTTTGTGTCATGTATGGTTGTTCCTTGTACATTGCTTTGCTGACTCCAGTTTTCCTCTTTCTCTTTTTATAGGACCGCAGCTGAATGCACAGCTAGAAGGTTGGCTTTCACAAGTACAGTCTACAAAAAGACCTGCTAGAGCCATTATTGCACCGTAAGTTTTAAGGGTCTTTACCCAGAATATTTCATATGTTAATTGGTAATAAAGAATGAGTATCTACAGGTTGAGCTATAAATCAAAACCCAGATGATATGCTGAGCTGACAAAATTACATTCAGTAAATTTTGTGAGTCCCATGACTTTAACTTTAACTCAAGGATAAAGGAAATTGGCCACTTTATTTTCTCAAATGCAGTAATTTTAAAATTTATTTTTGGTAACAAAACTGACTTCAAACAGAGGGATGTTTACATTAGGTAAACTTGGTGATTTCAGTAATAATTGGTATAATGAATAAGTTCTATTTTAACCTTAAAAAGACCTACTTTAATCCACATACTTTTAAACTTATAATGAAAAATATGCATTAACCATAATACGGTGCAATATGGAGTAGCAACCAGAATTTTGATGGAGGAGTAGTTTTTTTTTGTAATGAAAATCTTTGACTATTTTGTCTTTGAATATTAAGGGACTTTTTAGAACTGATAGATGACAAATGAACTATTAATGATGTGCCTGTGTATGATAGGATGTCGGGTAATTTTGATTTAGTTTCCAGTGCTAATATTCAAAACACATTGTTTTTTAAGCACATGTTAACATTTTTCTGAGAAGAGTTAAAGTTGGAGTTTGTGGAGTTTCTTCTCACAGCAGCATCTTTTATGACTTCTATTGAGTTAAGGTTGGTACCCTGATAAATAATAAATAATGAAAATAATAATAGCAACCATTTATTAAACTATGAGAATTAAATGAGTAAAAACACATAAAGATCCTACATTAATGTTTGACATGTAACAAATATGCCATCAATGTTAGGTGTTTTATGTGCCAAACATTTTGTTAAATACTCCATTTGTATATTCTAACTTGATCTTATTTGATAGATACAGGAGACTGTACCACTACAAGCTTTATGACAGACAAATTATTTAATCTCTTGTACCTTTCTCTCATCAATATAACTGGAATAATAATACCATAATATAGTTTTTTGATGATTAAATGTGCTAATCTTTATCAAACTTTTTGCATAATGACTTGCAGTTACTCATTTGGTCATTCAGCAAATATGTACCAGGCTAAATGCCAGGGACTCTTCTTTGTGATGCTTTTTGAATAAATTAGAATCACTTCTCTCATAGTGCTTGCATTTTAGTATCCAGGGAAGACAAACAGTAAACAATTAATTAATTACATTCTGTGTAAGGTGCTGATGGGTGCTAAGAAGAAAAATAAAGCAGATAAGAGGTTTGAGAGTGACAATATGGATAGAGAGTTGCTAGTTTATACAGGATAGTAAGAACAGGTCTCCTGATAAGGTAACATTTGAGCCTAAATGGCGCGAGAGAGAAGTTTTGCAGACACCCAAAGAAAGAGGGTTTCAGGCTGGGGAACAGCAAGCGCAAAGACTCTAGGCAGGATGCGCTTAGCGTGCTTGAGAAAAAGCAAGGAGGCTGGTGTCGCTGGGGTGGCTGGCATGTGTGACTGAGAGAGGAGTGCACGAGGTAGGCGCCAGGGGCTAGACCGCGGAGAGGCTTTGTAGGCTCTCGTAAAACTTTGGTTTTATTCCAAGTGAGATGGCAAGTCGTGAGAAGTTTTGAGCAGAAAAGTGACATGATCTGGCTTAGGTTTGAAAAGGATTACTCTTGCCTGCTGTATGAATGTTCTGTTTTGTGGGAACAGAGAATCCAGTTTAGGATGCTTATTACAACAGTACAGAAAAGAGATGACAGAGTGGCTTTGACTAAGGGCCAGGCGTGGAGGGGATGAGAAGCAATGTATTCTGGAGGTATTTCTAAGATAAGTACCAATAAAACAGAAGAAGAGTCAATGATAACTCTTAAGTTTTGTTGCTTGTGAAACTGGAAGGATAAAATTGCTTCCATACTGCTAAGGGGCAAATGGGTAGAGGCGGGAGAGTAGAAGTGTTTATGCAAAATCTGGGAATTGACTTTGACCATGTTAATGCTGAGATGCCCATTCGTTATCCAAGTGGAGATTTCAAATGGACAGCTAGATATATGAACTGTAGTACAGGGAAGAAGGGCCAGGCTGCTTTGGTGTATATGTATCACAGGCTGTAGTTGGCTCGGTTGTAAGATAAAGATAGAAAAGAAGTTCAAGGACTAAGCCCCTTAGGCAAACAACTTTATTTAGAGAGCAGGATGAAGATGAGTATTTGCAAAGGAGATACTGAAGGAGGACCAGTGAGCACAGAGGAAAACCAAGGGTGAGTGGAGTCTCTGGGAGGCAAAAGGATGAAAAATGTGTCAGAGAGGAGAGAAGAATCAGCTGTGTCAAATTCTGTCAATTGGTCGAATAAGATAAGGACTGAGAATTGATCATTGGGTTTTGCAATGTGGACATTGCTGGTTCACCTTGATAAGAACAATTTCTGTCGGGTGTTGGGGATGAAGGCTTGATTGATGTAGGTTCAAGAAAGAATTAGAGTGAAATGAAGGTTGTGAGTATAGATAGCTTTTTTTCTTCAGGAATTTTGCTGTAAATTAAGCAAATAAGGCAATGGGAACATGATGTCAAGAGAATTTTTATTCAGGATAGGAGATATTAAAGCATTATAATGTTGATGAAATGATCCAGTAGAGAAAGAAAAATTGATAATAGGGATAAGAGAGGAAGTTTGTGTAAGTGAGGTCCTTGATTGGGTGAGAAACAATAGGTCTCTTTATAGTAACTCATGAGATAGGTTGTATTGTCTTGCCTATCGCTATGCTGGTGTTTAACTATTGCAGCATGCTCCTGTCCTACCTAAAACTTGTTATAATGTGGGAGGTGAGCTGAATCAACATAAAATTAAGTTGAGTTTAGTTATTTATGAAAAAGTAGCCAGACTTATTTCCTTCTTGTAGTTAGTTAAAAACTGAAATCCTTGGCAATGGCCTGGGAAATGAAATGTTTGAGCCTAAGTTACAAATATATTGATTTGTAAAATATTACCAAGTTACCTTAAGTTTTTAAAGAAGATTATTTATTTATTTATTTCTGGAGTGTGGGAAGGAAGAAAGGGAGAGAGGGAGAGAAACATCAGCATGTGAGAAACATTGCGGTCGCCTCTTGTATGCCGCCAACCTGGGACCTGACCCACAACCCAGGCACGTGCCCTGACTGGTAATCGAACTGTAGACCTTTCACTTTGCAGGTTGACGCCCAGTCAGCTGAGCCACACCAGTCAGGGCCAAGTTGCCTTAAGTTTTAAAATGAATGTTTGAAAATAGTTTTGGTTATGGTGTGCTTTGTTCTACTATATATAGTGACTTTGTAATGTTAATGCATATATAGGTAATATCCATTTTTGTTAACATATGAACATGCATAGTACAGTCTTATCTTACTATATGGTTTTCAGAAGTAATTATTTTCCTTTCAGAGTTACTTTGTTTTTCTTTTGAGGTAGAAAAGTAGCAACAAGTTTTTTTATTGTTATGTAAGCATGAAGGTTTTTTTGTAAGAATATGCTTATATAGTAATTAAAAAACTGAAAATTTTAAGGTTTCTACTTCTCTTTCAAATCAAGTCAATCAAAACATGGTTTAAATTTTGTAAATTCTAGCTCTCTGGATCCAGCTTTTCTTAAGATTTACCTTTATAGGCATAAATCATAGAGGAACCTTATAAAAACATCAACAACAACAAGTTAGAACCGAGATAGCACACTTTTGAAAGTGCTAAAACAGATTGCTCATTTTTATATTGATGTAGATTAAATAGAATGATATCATTAAAGGATAAATATTGACCCATAAACAAACTGTTGATCAATCTTAATGAATCTAACCTATATGACACAGGCAGGCACATTTGGGGAATTCAGAAGATTTTAATTTGATTAAAAAATATCCTTTGTTTGAATTTAGAACCACCTCACTTGTCTTGAGGCACAGGAGACAGTGTGTGTCCCAGCAATAGGCAATATATTGAAATGGTCTCATGAACTAGGACTTCCAAAAGCCTTTCTACCGTGAGTGCCAAACACCTCAATGCCAACAGTGTTGTTTGTCTTACAGTAGGCAGGAATGTCTAAGCAACCCTTATAATGGAGCTGTACCAGAATGCATTGCTTAAGAAACCTCATATTGAATATAAAAATATAATAAGATAATTGGGAATGGGGCTAATTTAATTATTTTTTTTACTATATACTATATAGTAATACTATAAATATTGAAGCCCCTTCATACATTTAAAATAAAGTTTCACTTGATAGTAGTTAACCTGATAGGAGTAGTATGGAATACAGGATACTTTTACTTCTTTTACTATGTACATGTATTACTTTTAATATAAAAACTAATTTAAAAAATTTAGAAAATAAACGTTTATATAAAACACCAGTTTGCATATAGTGAGGCATACCTGTAGAGCTCTACCAGTGTATATTATAAGACAATGAATCATGAATTATATAGTTAATTTAAGTTACTAGAGGTTTGCAACTTGTTTAGTTTTCATCCTTGTTTATATTAATTAGTTATTCATGGCACTATCTAAAATCCTACGTATTTTAGCATTAAAAATTCTAGATATGCTACTTGCGGTTACTTTATTCTTGTTTGACTTGACTAACTTTAATAACTTTCTTTAGCTCATAGTATTGTTTACTTAATGTTTGTGAGATTTGCCTTGGCTGGTATGGCTCAGTGGCTCGAGTGCCGGCTTGTGAACCAAAGGGTTGCTGGTTTGATTCCCAGTCAGGACAAATGCCTGGGTTGTGGGCCATGTCCCCAGTAGGGGGTGCACGAGAGGCAACCACACGTTGATGTATCTCTCCCTCTCTCCCTCCCTTCCCTCTCTCTAAAATAAATAAATAAATAAATAAATAAATAAATAAATAAAATGTTTTAAAAAATGTGAGATTCCATTTTGTAAAAAATAAAATATTTTGAATAATGACTAATCTGGACATGGGGGGGATATAATCATCTACTAATATTTTTTATTAAAGCAGAAATCTTGAAGGCCATTGAGCA